TCCCCTTAGAGGGTCTTTGATTTCCTGCCTTACCTGTCTCTCACCAGGGACTGGAATGTGAAGAGTGAGGCTTTATAGGATGTCATATTACCCTAATCTCTGTCCTGACCCCCCAAAAGAAATTGGGGAGTTGAGCACTTTCTGTCTCATCTCCTGATTGCCACCTCTTAGTTTCAGGTCCATGGACTCTCCAGGATGTGGGGTGTGAAAAAAAGACTTGGGGTGCTGGGGAAAGGCTTGAGGGCTCTGAGAAGCTTGAGATGGAGTCCATAAAGGAGGAGGCGTGGAAAAGGTCTCCTACCTCAAATCTGCCATACAGACTTCTTGCATTAAGGCACCTCCTTCCCCTCCCCTTCCCAAGTTGGGGACTCCCCAGCTACTCTTACTCGTGGCCCCAGTTGGAGCCAGTCCTAGGATTCCCCCCTCCCCACACCCCTCCAGCTGCTCAGGCTCCAGCTCTTCACCCCACCCTGCTGGCCTCAGCCAGGATGGCGACAGACACAACCACTCACACACACAGGCACTCATACAGCAACACACACACACACACACACACACACATGCTTGCACACATACAGGCATAAACCCTCACTCTCGCACACATGCACATGCACGCACATACAGTCATAGATGCTTGAATAAGATTTCTGGCCCCCTTTCCCTCCCAAAGATTTCAGTAGGCCTGCTGTCTCTCTCTCCTTCTCTGTCTCTGTATCTATGTCTCTGGGTGGAGCTAGCTGTCTTTTTTGGCATTTTTTTTTTCAGTTCAGCTAGAAATCTCTCTCCCCACACACCCACACACCGGAGAGGGGAGAAAGACACAAGCAGTGTATATGTTTGTGGTGGGGGGAAGACAGCAGTATCTGACCGAGGGGCACTGCTAGGGCCATGGACCTCTCCAACCTTAGTTGGCAGATGATTCCCTTCCTGCCCACCCTAAAGTCCCCACCCTAAAGAACGTGGTTGTTCCTTGCTCTTACTGAGGTTGGGTAGCTTTTGTTCCCACGTGATTATTGAAGTTGCCAGAACCCCGGGGGCTCTCTCCTTCTTGTGTCCTGCTCTTCTCATCCTTTTCCCCTAGTGGTTGGCCAAGGTAAGGTTATTTAGGATGAGTTCAAATACCCTGTGAGAAGGCTCTTCCATGAAAGGAGGATGGAAATGAGGTGTTTCTCCTGCCTCTGCTTTCTTCCTCTAGATTGTGGGGAGGAGGGGGGCTGGACCTACGGTGTGAAGGAGAGTGCTCCTCCAGTTTCCCTTCCCCCCTCCTTTCGGAGCCACTCCAGCCTGGAGAGTCACCATGGCAACAGTGGCCACGTGACTGCACAGGTCTCTCTCAGTCACTATGGCAACCAGTGTCCCCTGTTCTCTTGGTTGCCATAGGATATATCACATGGTTTCTTCCCCCCTCCCCACCTGGCAACCTGTGTTCCCCCCCTCCTTCCTACTTTTCCTTCCCCACTAGAGAATTGGAGAGCAGCCTTAGGGGAAGGGGGTCACCTCAGTTACCATGACAACAAATCAACACCAACCTAGACACATCCTATTATTGCTATGGCAACAAAAGGAACATCACACAGTGACATGGAGCTCTGTTCCTATGGAAATGAGCCCCACCCTGGGATGGGGGAAAGAAGGACACCCAACTAGGAGTCCAGCATTGTTGGGTTCAGTCCAGTCAGTGGTTATACTGACCTGGGGACAATAAAACATATTCCAACTCCAATTTCCTGGTGCCTCAATTTCTCTTCTGCTTACTTCTGTGAATCTGGGGCTAGTCAAGTGGGAGAGGATGAAACAGAAAAGGGGATAGAAGCTTTCTGAAGATGCCTTCTGGTTGGGCCTCAGGAGACACTTTAGAAGATGTTTCCATAGTTGAATGATCTTGAACAGGTCATTTCCTTTCTTTGGCCTCATTTTCCTTATCTGTCAAGTGAAGATTCTGAGTGAGGTCCCTTGAAACTTAAATACTCTATGTTCTGTGTGTGGCTGAGGGAAGGGGGACCTCTAGTCTATGTCAGGCCCCTGCCTCAGTTTCTTTTGGGGGGAAGGGGAGTTCCACAGAGGACAGACAGCACTGTCCTTGCTTCTTCTCCTTACACTTCCCCCATAAATGTTCACACCTTTCGGGTCGTAAAAATGTGTGTGTTAGTGTGTGTGTGTTAGCACTCATACAATTTTAGATTTAGAGCTAGAAGGAACCTTAGTGATCACTGATATAGGTTCATGGATCTCACTAAGCTCCTTCCCTATCACCCCTCCCCAGTCATAACACTAGGCTCCAGCGGATGAGAGAGAGATAGTCTGCATCCCATAATCACCCTCTTCTTCAAGAGTCTGGTGCCTCACATTGTTTCTGGTTGTTTCCTAAAAGGTGAGACTCTCCTGGCTCAAGCTGGAGGCAAGTAAGTTATCCCAGTTACTGGGTCTGGAAGCACCCTCCTGTCCAACAACTTTTGGGAGTTGGTTGGGAGAAACTCTTTTGATGGTCTTACTTCCCACCCATCCTATCTCCATCCCAGCCTGGGAAACACAATTGTTTGCTCATCACCACTGTAAGGAGGAGGAGGGAAACCTTGAAGAGGGAGACCATTTCTGGTCTCCAGTGGGTGTATGAAGGGGGAATTTATTCATTCAGCAAACCATTGATACTTGAATTTATTCTGCACAAGGTACTGTGGGGGTGGGGGTGGGTGAGGTACAAAGAAAAGTAAGACAAGATCCCTGCCCTCTAGGAGTTTAAACTCTAAGTAGGGAAAACGAGACAGGAACACATATAATTATACTACAGGCAGAGTATGGCCAATGTTGTAAGAGAAGCATGAGCAAAGTGCTATGGGAGTCATCCTGCCAAGCTGTGTGTGTGTTATCTGCTCCATCCGGCTCCTCTTCCAAACAGAGCCACCCACCCACTCTCATTCAGGTAAACCCTGGTTGGGCTTCCCAAGGCACTCCCACACCCTCTTTCCTAGCTGAGAAGCCTTCACTTTGAATTCTTGCTTCCACCCTCACCCTCCTGGGGAAAGCCATAGGGGAGGACCACCTCCTGTGTAGGGCAGAAGAGGGGACAGTCCCAGGGAAAGAAGGGTGTGACAGCTCTTCTGGGCTCTGACCTCCTTCCCAGAAGACTCCGAGGAGAGGTTGAACAGGCGTGGGGGCGAAGGGAAATCGGGAGCCCAGAGCTTCTAGGAAGCCTGGCAGCTCACCCTGCACCCCGCGCCTCAGCACCCCCTCTCCCGCCCCATGAACTCTGGCTGACCCCTGCTCTGGGGAGAGATCCACCAGCTTCAGCTTTACTCAAAGAAATGGTTCCATGGAAACAGAGCACTCTTTTCCGTCTTTTCCTCACCGCCTGTTTCCCCCAACCCCTCATCTTCTGACAGTTAACTATTGGAAAATCATTATTGTTTGGGCACAGATGGGAAGGGGCATTGCAGGTGCCAGAGGTTTGGGGATTGGAGGCTGGAAGAGAGGGAAGAGGACCTGCAGAACCTGGATAGGCACAGGATCTGAGCTGGACCCAGAATTTAGGGTAGGGAGGAACGTGAAATATTACTGAATGCTAGGGCTAAGCTTGGAAGAGTGGTCTGCCTAATAGAACTGCTTAGCCAAATGCTGTCGCCTCCTTCTCCACCACTGATTATTATGCACAGCTTCACCGTCGGGGAACCGGTTCTAGCCCTCAAAGGGCGCACTTTGCGCAGCTCTGAACATCGGTGGGGAGAGAGAGATCTCCAACCCCGCCTCTCTGCGGGTCTATTTCATCCTCCTTCACTTCTCCCAACCTCTACTCTCTATGTCCCTCACCTCGGCCTCTTCTCTATTCTCCAAGGACAGAGACATTTCACGTTTTAAAAATGGCAAAAAAGGATCTCTGAGGTTTGGGGTTCGAGTCGCATCGCTTTCTTCGTTTCTGGGGGTAGAATTACTCAACCTTGCAGAGGTCATTCCAGACTTCTCCTGCTTCACAGGACAGCCCTTCCCTCAGTCTGAGCCTGGAGGGCAAAGAGGAGGATTCAGCAATGTGGGAAAGACACCCAGCCATTCCCCAGCCTCCAAGAGCCTGTCCCCAGTGACGGTCCACTGGGCCCACGCTGTGCCTTATGTCAGGCAGGGCGCAGGAGAGTCTGATGGAGTGTGTGACTGTGCATAATTATGTGTGTGGGGTCTGTTCGCTGTCCGTGCCTGAGGGCAGGAGTCTGTCTGGGCCTGTAACCCCACGACTCCCCACTCCTCGAGATGGCTCCACCAGGCATAGGGGGCAGAGGTAGGACTGGGCTGGGCTGGATCTAGAATCTCGAGCACTCAGTGAGGTCTCCGCTGGCCCATATCTCAGACCATCTGTCCAACTAGACCGGGTTTTCTCCATAGTAGGTCTGTCTTTTCCTGTCCCACATCTTTCTGCCAGGTAGCCACTTGGATTTTCTCTCTCTCACATACATAGGCAGGAGTGGATGGGTGGATGGGTAGCACAGAGAGAGGATGTAGGGGGGTGAAGAGTTAAACTCACACCCGTGCCCCGTTGTGACCTTGACCCCTACCGAACCTGGTTCGAACGGGTCAGCATGCTGGTTATCCTGCTGAACTGCGTGACGCTGGGCATGTTTCAGCCGTGCGAGGACATCGCCTGCGACTCCCAGCGCTGCCGGATCTTGCAGGTGTGTTAGCGGTGGGGAGGGGGCCCGAGGTCACAGGAGCATTGGGGAGGTCAGTACCTAAGTTCCAAATTTCTGCTCTGTGTGAACCACAGTCCCCCCGATCCTGCAGCACCATTGCCCCTCCGGGAGCAGGCCTCCTCTCCACCACTGTGGCCTCTCCTTAGTTCTAGCCCTTCCCCATTCAGAGTTGATCCCAGCCCCCTCCCCACTCTCAGGCCTTTGACGACTTCATCTTCGCCTTCTTCGCTGTGGAGATGGTGGTGAAGATGGTTGCCTTGGGCATCTTCGGAAAGAAGTGTTACTTGGGAGACACCTGGAACCGACTGGACTTTTTCATCGTCATTGCAGGGTGAGTGTCAGGCGTTCTAGAAACTCTGTTCTTCTGCTTCCCAGGTTCAAGGCCAATTGATGAAGTAGCTCCTCCTGTTTGCTGATATTCTTCCCAGTCCCAGAGTCTGGGGTGAACTACATCCCTTGTCCCTTTCTCCCCCTTGTCTCTTCAACTTGATTTAGTGATTTTCCATCCTGAGAGTGATATGGAAGCATCACTTCACACCTACAGGCCAGGCTGGAGTAATGGGGATGTCACCAAGGAATCACATTCCTGCCCCAGGGCTCTAAGTTTCTCTCTGTATATGTTTATCCTAAAAATAAAAAAAAAAATTTAAAAGGAGCAGTATGACTTAGTAGATGGGGAGCTGTCCTCCTAGCCAGGAAGATCTGAGTTCAAGTCCTGACTCTGACTTATCCTGACTGTGTGACACTGGGCAAAGTCACTTAACCTCTTAGTGTTCTATGAAACTCCATAAGACTACGAATTGCAGGCAAGGTGTCAACCTACAATGATGGAGCAACTTCCCTGTGCCAGTGAAATCACAGGTCCTATCTCTTGTCATTACATGGATCCTCAGCTTTGGGACTGTTTTATCCCTAACCAATCACGAATGTTAATTTGGGATGGCACCATAGTTGTCATCTTATCCAAAGAGAGAAATAACCTCTCTGAGTCCCTTGAGGGGGGAGGGCATTGAGCCCTGTATTGTTTCTAGCTACTTGTGTAGCGGGAAAAGCACCATTCTAAGAGGCAGGAGAGGATGATTCTGGGCCCAGAGCCACCACCGTTGTGCTACATTGGTCAAGTCTCTTTATCGCTCTGTGCCTCTATTCCCTCATCCGTAAAACAAGAAGAGTTGCACTAGCTAATCTCTCAAGTCACTTTTAGCTCTGTCGTTTTATGATTCTAACCTTTGCCTTTGTCTGAACTCCCAGCGGACTTCAGTATTCTGATCTCTCGGTGTCCCCTGAATATTGGCCTTTCTCCTACAGGATGCTTGAATACTCCCTGGACCTTCAGAATGTCAGTTTCTCTGCTGTTCGGACTGTCAGAGTGTTACGGCCTCTTCGAGCCATTAACCGAGTTCCCAGTGAGTGATCCTCTCCCTTGGGCAAGTGGGAAGAAGAAGAAATGCACCCCCTCTCCCTCCTCCTCCCCCAAAAGGACCTTCCCCGTTATTCGAGAAGATGGTTGGGACGGGGTGGAGGTGGAGGGGAGGGATGGAGACAGGAGCAACTGTGGGTGTATGTGTGTCTGTTGGGGACAAATCAAAGGGATTCAGTAAGGCTGTAATAGAACTTGAAATCTGCCTCTGGGGCTGTGACAACTGATCTCTTGGGAAGTAGTGATCTGAGAGAGAGAGAGAGAGAGAGAGAGAGAGAGAGAGAGAGTAGGACAATGGAAGTGCTAGGACAGGAGGTGGGGGTATAGAGAACATGTGGGAATCTCTACCAGACTGTTCTTTATTTCATTAAGGTTTAGAGCAATACTTCTCCTCCAGATTTTTGGGTCAATTTCAAGAAGATGCACTGCTCTCCCTTTCCCCTTTTTCCTTCTCCATGCCTCATAAGCTTGGAAGGGGATAAGGTACAAAGCTATAGCAGCAGTCCCCAGTCTGGGTTGCTCTTGAATCCCACCCCCACCCCTTGCCTATGACTTTCCTTTAGTTCCCCAGTGGTAGTCCCCTTTGCCTGTGGCTTTCTTCCTCCTCCCTCACCCCATTTGGAACATTCACTAGAGCCATTATCTAAATTAAACCAGAGATGGCGAAGCTTTGGAATATGGAGCCAGAGCAGCTTTGGCAGCCTCAACTCACTGCCTTCCCCCTTGAACTTCTCCATCCCCCAACATAGCTCCAGAGTCCAGATCCTGGGCCCCTATATAGGTGAACCAGTACATAGATGGGCCTTGCTGTACTGGGTGGGAGAGGAGGTGGGGGTGGGGCAGGGTTGGTCAGCTGTGCTTCTAGATGGTTGTGTCAGAGTCCTGGTGTGTGTCTGAGCGATGACAGCTGCATGTGACACTGTGTGTGTGTGTGTGTGTGTGCGCCAGTGTTTCTCTGGATGATTCGATGTTAAGTGCCTCAGGGGAGTCAAATGTTAAACGTGTCTCCAGGTGTTCTGCTGTGTAGGTGTTAACAGTAGCTCCAGACATCTAGGGTGTAGCATCCCCCACTTTCACCCCCACCTCAAGTGACGGATGGCTGATTTACTGGCCTCTGTCTAACCACCAGTGTAATTCCCTTAATGCAAACCCTGAAGAATTGATCTCTGCTGCTGTGCGGTGGATTTGGGAAAGGGGGGAGGCAACGAAGAAGCCTGGGGCGGGGGGGTGGTAAGATGTTGTGCAGGGGAGGCTGGCTGCAGTCACACGGATAGACCAATTCTGTTAATTGTTTGTGGAGAGGGAAACACAGGAGGCCTAACTCTTCTAAAAGAGGTCTGGGCAGTAAGGAAGGGACTTAAGGAAGGGTCAGGGCAGATTCAGACCATATACAAAAGCAGTCTGATTGAGTCATAAAACTGCAAGAAGAAGAGAGGAAAGCCTTCCTTTAATGGGGTGCGTGAGAGTCAGAGAGATCAATGATTTAGGGGAGGGAGAATAGCAGAGGAAATGTCAGTCTTAGATCAATTTCTGTGAATGTCAGGTTTACGTCTCCATTGATTCATCCTGATCACAAGATTAGGACTCCAAATTAGTGGATTCTAAAGGGGAGAAGGGGTGTATTCTGGGAATGAAGGGCCGAAATCTGGAAGGAAAGAGAGAGGAGATACTGGGGCAGGTTTGGTTTAGGCAGTTATGGGCAGCATAGAGATGGTGGTAGTCCAGCAAGCTGCCATCCTACCTTGCTTTCTGCCTCTGTTTCCCTGGTGATCCAACTCAGAGACATTTGGAATGGCCAGACAATTCTGACAGTGAAGGGGAGAAGAGGAATGGGTGGCGTTTATTATCTTGGCAAGTAAGGAGACTTAGAGGGGAAGGAAGGAATTTTAGGGTCTAAAGAGAGCCCCAGATGAAAAGTAATCATGAATCATTTGTCTATTGTTCTAGCTAGGTGGTACAGTAGATAGAGGCTAGGCCTGGAGTCAAACAGACCCAAGTTCAAATCTAGCCTCAGACACTTACTAGATATGTGACCCTGGAGAAATCATTTAACCACTGTCTACCTCAGTTTCCTCAATTATAAAATTGGGATAATAATAGTACATGCTTTGCAGGGTTGTTGTGAGGATCAGGTGAGAAAATATTTGTAAAGCACTTAGCAAAGTGCTTGGCACATAGCAGACACTTAATAACTATTTGTTCCCTTCCTCTCCCCCAAAAGAAAAAGAAATGGGCCCCCAACCCTTTTCCCCTCAGAGTCCCCTCAGCCCAAGGCAGGCTGGATTGGACTGTCCTAGGAAGTCCTTGATTAAATTCTGTCTCTGGATGCTTAACCTACTGCACCAATTCTGGGGCCTCTCTGCTGCCTCCCCCCTTTCTGCCCCCACAGTGCAGCCTCTGCCCACCCTCTAGGTATGCGAATCCTGGTCACTTTGCTGCTAGACACCTTGCCCATGTTGGGCAATGTCCTCCTTCTCTGTTTCTTCGTCTTCTTCATCTTTGGCATTGTTGGGGTTCAGCTCTGGGCTGGGCTCCTTCGAAACCGATGCTTCCTTCCAGAGAATTTCAGCATGTGAGTATAGGGATGGTTAGGGTACCTGGGAGATGGTAGGGGGAGACTCTTTGGGACTTGGGGTTAGGTCATCTTTTCTTCCTGCACATCCTCACTCCCTGTTTCTACTAGCTTCCAGATCCCCAATTTTTTTTCTTGATATTTCTCACCCTAATCCCTAGGATAGCCCTTCACACACCAACTCTAGGCTATCCTCCCCTATCCTTGCTACCATGCTCCCTGTCTACCAGCCCATACCTATTTTCCTGCTGCTTATATGTCCCACTTCCCCTTACTCCATTTCCCTGCCTTCCTGCTCCTTGCCCTCCACCATATCATCCCCTGTTCACTTGCCCTTCCATCCCTGTCCCCCTTCCCCCTGCATCTTACTCTCTTGTGCTCCCACCTTGGGTTTTACCTCTGACACCCTTCCCCACTCCCCTAGCCTCATCCCTGACTCCCTCCCCACCCCACAGCCCTCTGAGTGTGGACCTAGAACGCTACTATCAGACTGAGAATGAGGACGAGAGCCCTTTCATCTGCTCCCAACCTCGGGAGAATGGGATGCGTTCCTGTCGAAGCGTCCCCACGCTTCGAGGAGAAGGGGGTGGTGGCCCTCCTTGTGGCCTTGACTATGACGCCTACAACAGCTCTAGTAATACTACCTGTGTCAACTGGAACCAGTATTATACCAACTGCTCCGCTGGTGAGCACAACCCCTTCAAGGGAGCCATCAACTTCGACAATATCGGCTATGCCTGGATCGCCATCTTCCAGGTGTGTGTGTGTATAAATGGGCAGCATGGGGACCTGGATTCAAGAACCTCAGACCCCTAAGATGCCCCCTGAATTAAGGCCCCAGGACTCAGATCCTAGCTCAGAGGGGTCTTCTTGGGGTTGTGGGTATAGACCCCTACAAAGATGACTCCAGACTGTGTGTGGACCACACTCATCTCAGTGAGTCTCCCTCCCCATGCTCCCCTCCACATAGCGTGAGCTCCCAAGAGATGACTCGAGGCCTCTTCATCTTCTCCAGGTCATCACGCTCGAGGGCTGGGTAGACATCATGTACTTTGTGATGGATGCTCATTCCTTCTACAACTTCATCTACTTCATTCTTCTCATCATTGTGAGTGGCTCCTCTGGTTGGGATGGGAAGGCGTGGGTCCTGGGATTGGGTAGTCCTTGGGAGAAGAGGTAAGGAACAGGTTGGGCAGGAGACTTGCCAGTCTTTCCTAGAAAGGAAGGGTCACTCCCTCTGAATCCTCCCATCCCCCAGCTCTTAGGATAAGCTCCAGTGCAGAGATTCTAAACTTTTTTTGGATTGTGCTCCTCACTGTCAGTCTAATGAAGCCTATGGATCCCTTTGCAGCATATAGTTTGTTGCCTACATTTATAATTAGAGGAAATGTTAAATTTCAGTCAGATGTCAATGAAAATAAAGGTGTCATTTTCCTCCATCCAAGTTGAGGTGCTCTCTAAAATCTATCTATGAACACCTTGGCAGGGTCAAGGAGAGGGTCCATGGACTCCAGGTCAAGAACTCCTTCTGCAGAGAAAGACAGAGGACAGATAAATACAGAGAAAGGCAGAAACATAGACACCATTCTTAATATCCCAGACAAGCCCCAGAAAAAAAGAAAACTGAGACAGAGAGAGAGAGCTAGTGTGACAAACATAGACAGGTAGAATAGAGACAGGGACAGATCAGGAGAAGACACCCTAGAGGATAATCTTTCCTTCCCTCAGCTCTGTCAAGTATACAGAAGAGTTGCCCAGCCTGGCCAGAGACATCTGACCACTGGGGCCAATTTAATTGTTGTCTTCTTTCTGAGAAAAGAGGTCACAATGAAAAGGAAGAAATGTTTCACACTATTCCATAATTTTGTGATTGTTCGAGGTTGAAGATTGGCGGAGGAAAGGGTCTAGGTGAGGGAGGTTGGGCAGACAGGTGGGGGAACCAGTTTCTATTCTCCCACACCTACCCATGACAACTCTCTCAAAACAGTGCCCTGAAATACATTAATGAGGCTAATTATAATAATTATCAGGACAGACTCTGGGGAGAAAAATCTGCTTTGTCATCATGAATATTCATGTCCTTCATTCTGAGTAGTTTTCCCAGTTGTGGCCATCCCAGATTTCTGGTGAAACTGAGGCATGAATGGGAGGGGCGTGAGATAGGAAAACTGATGTATCAGTGGCATTGGCTGGTTATGGCCCAGGTGAGACATGGCAGATCTTGGAGTAGGACTCATGGGACCTGTGGTGGGCAGTCCCAGGCCAGCCTAGGAAAAGAAAGGGAGATGGGATTCTGGCATTTTTAGTCACCCTTCTCCATCCCCACTAGCTGCCCTGTTCCTCAGCCCTCTCCCCATCACCCAGGGATGTGTCTTGTTCTATAGCTAATCTCTAGGGTCCCACCCAACTTGGAAATGCTATGGTTGTCTGATTCCATGTTGTTCCACCATATCTCCTCCTCCCCAGCCTAACCCTGGGAGGGTCACTAAATTCATGCTTTCCCCCTTCCCATAACTCATCCCTTCTATTTCTTCCCTCCTCCCTTTTTATTCCCTTTGATGTGGTGAAAAGAACATTGAATTCAGAGTGGGAGGATTTAAATCCTGGCTCTACTATTCGTGACCTTGGGCCAGACATTTAATTCTTCTTAGTCTCAATTTGTTCATCTGGATTGGACTAGAAGGTCTCCTATGGTGGCACAGTTGATGAAGAGCTGGGCCTGGAATCAGGAAGACCTGAGTTCAAATCTGGTCTCAGATAGCTCTGTGATCCTGGGCGAGTCACTTAATATCTGTTTGCCTCAGTTTCTTTAATTGTAAAATGGGGAATAATAATAGCCCCTATTTCACAAGGTTGTTGTGAGGATCAAATGAAATAATATGTGTTTAAAAAAAAACTGAGCACTTAGTGTAGTGCGTGGCACATAGTAGGCTCTGTATAAATGTTTGTTCCCCCCCTGTGCCCCTTTTAGCTCTAAGCCCTGATACTATGATTTCTACTCTCCTCTGAAACCTCCTCCCCAACAGGTGGGCTCCTTCTTCATGATCAACCTCTGCCTGGTGGTGATTGCCACACAGTTCTCAGAGACTAAGCAGAGAGAGAGTCAGCTAATGAAGGAGCAGCGGGTTCGATTCCTGTCCAATGCCAGCACGTTGGCCAGCTTCTCTGAACCGGGCAGCTGTTATGAGGAGCTGCTCAAGTACCTGGTGTACATTCTCCGGAAGGCTGCCCGGAGACTGGCCCAGGCCTCCAGGGTGGTAGGGGCCCGAGCTGGCCTCCTAGCCAGTCCTGGTGGCCGAGGAGTTTCTGAGACCCAGCCCGCCAGAAGCGGGAGTTGCCCCCGTTCCCGCCGTCATCGCCCATCCATTCATCACCTGGTTCACCACCACCACCATCACCGATCTCTGGGTTGGCATGTGGAGCTCTCAGGGTCCCATTGCCCAAGTGGTAATGGTGATGCCAACGAGACCCGTCGGCTCATGCTGCCTCCGCCTCCTACCTGTGCCCATCCTGGGGGGTCTCCTGGGGGTTCTGAATCTGTCCATAGCTTCTACCATGCTGACTGCCACCTAGAACCCCTGCGCTGCCAAGCAGCCTCTCCCAGGTCCTCTCCTGAGGGTCCGGGTAGGAATGCAGGTGGAGGAAAGGTATACCCCACCATGCACTCCAGATCCCCACCCAAGGTGCTAAAGGAAAAGGCATTGGTGGAGGCAACCCCTGTCTCTGGGCCCCCCACTCTCACCAACCTCAACATCCCACCTGGACCTTACAGTTCCATGCACAAGCTGCTGGAGACACAAAGCACAGGTAAGCACTTTGGAGGTGGGGCTGACTGGGGGTTGGGTATGTCTTTGAAATAACCTTTGGTGCAGGGTTCTGATGGTGGAGACAGAGAAAAGGGACTGTCTAGCCTGATTGATGGAAGAAGCTTTGTCCCTACACTTTGGGATTACTCAGGATGATGGAGGAAATGCCTTTCCTTCCCTCAGAGACTCTCCATCCGATAGGGGAAGAAGAACATATGCAGAGGACATAGACTTAAAAGTTATAAATCGAGATGCTATGTAAACAAGCATGAATTAATAGCTGCCACGCAAATTGGGTGTGTTTAGTGGAAAGACCAATGGATTTCAAACCAGAGGACCTGTGTTAGAATTCCAGCATTACTGCTTACTACCTCCCTGTGGGATCTCGTGCAAGTGAGCTCTCCTCTCTGGGCCTCCATTTCCTCATCTGTAAAATGAGGTGGTTGCTAAAGGTCTCTACTGGCCTAAAGCTGCATCTTTCAAATGCTAAGGGAAGACAAAGGAGTAATCAGGGAAGCTTACTAGAGGAGGCATTTTGTGCTAGATGGCCCCTTCTGCTTGTCTATCTCTTAGTGACATGGCCAGTGATCCAACGCCCATTTGGCAAAAACCAGGCATAGAGCTGACCATTTCCATTCATCGCTCTGATAATGAGATATGTAAATGTTGTCAGGCATCCAGGCTGAGGAGCTTCTGATCTGTGGGCCCCAGAAATACTCTCCTCCTAAAGGAAGGGGCTTTTGATACTGCATCCTTAGACTTGCATAATCCAGGGTAATCCAGGGGATATAATTACAAGCAAGATCAGCCTACTGTTTATCTTTAGGAGGAAGCTAGGTGGTACAGTGGATAGAACACTGGTCCTGGAGTCAAGAAAAACCGAGTTCAAATACTTTTACTAATTGTATAATCCTGGTCAAGTCATTTATTCTATATTTGCCTCAGTTTTCTCAACTGTGTAAAATGTGGATAATTATAGCACCTACTTCCCAGGGTTGTTGTGAGGATCAAATGAGATAATATTTGTAAAGCACTAGGCACAGTGCCTGGCAGATAGTAAGTGTTAAATAAATACTTGTTCCCTCCCTCCCTCCCTTCCCCCTTCCTTCCTTCTTTTCTCCCTCCTTCCTTCCTCCCTTCCTTTCTTTCTTCCTTCCTTCCTTCCTCCTTCCTTTCTTCCTTCTTTCTTTCTCTCCTCCCTTTCTCCCTTCCTCCCTCTTTCCCTCGTTCCTTCTTTCCTTCCTTCTTTTCTCATTCCTTCTTTCCTCCCTTCCTTTCTTCATTCCCTCCTTTCTCCTTCCTTCCTTCTTTATTTTCTTCTTTCCTCCCTCTCTCCTTTCTTCCCTCCCTTCCTCCTTCCTTCTTTCCTTCCTTCCTTCCTTTCCTTTTGTCTTCTCCTTAATGACCAAGTTGCTCTTTCTAACCCCACACCCTTGAGTCCAAGAGAAAGATATTCAGGCATCAGCTGGGATGGGGTTGAGACAACAATGGAGGGTTTTCATCTGCTGGCAAAGGTGGAACCAAGAACCTCCTTCCTGAACAGCTTAACCTAGGCTTCAGCAAAAACAAACAAACACAAAACAAATCAACAAACATGGATGGTGCAATAGAGAGTCATCTTCACTGTAAACTAAACAAATAAGACAGAGATACTCTTCATAAACCAAATGCTATAGTCAGCATTCCATTGCCCTGATATTGCCTAATTCTGTTAAAATAGTTTTTTCGCCTGATTTTCATATTCTAATAAGTCACAAGGGCGGGAGGAATTGAGAAGTTGATGATGCATGGTATGTTGGAAAGAACATTAGACTAGGAGTCAGGAGACCTGACTCTGCCACAAATTAGCTGTGTGACCCTGGCCAAGTCCCTTCTTTTCTCTCAGCCTCAGTTTCCTCTTCTGTAATTGAGAGAACTGATGGTAGGGTCTGCAATGCCCCATCCAGCTCCAATCTTTTAAGATTCCAGAAGACTTGAGACCATCTGTGCCTCATAATAGCTGTCTATTTCTGGGGTTCTTTTATTTCTTTTTTTATTAATGTGGTTACAAAAGTTGGGCTCCTGGTCCAAGGGACAGCTCTCTGACTTCTGACCTCCTGTGTTCTAGGTTCCTGTCAAGGCTCCTGCAGGATTTCCAGCCCCTGTGGGAAGGCAGATAATGGGGCCTCTGGCCCAGATAACTGTCCCTACTGTACTCCAACACAGGCGGGAGAAGCTGAGCTGATGGACCCAGAGCTGCTTGACTCAGATAGTGAGGGCATCTATGAGTTCACACAGGATACCCAGCATGGTGACCACCGGGACCCCCACTGGGGGGCAAGCCAGGGCCAGGGCCAAGAGCCCAGCACCTTGATGGCCTTCTGGACGCTGGTCTGTGAGACTTTTCGGAAGATTGTGGACAGCAAATACTTTGGCCGTGGGATTATGATAGCTATCCTTATCAATACCCTCAGCATGGGCATCGAGTATCATGAACAGGTACAGATGGAAAGGTCCCTTCCTCTTCCTCTCCATTTTCCTTCCCCTTTCCTTTCTACCCTGTTTTGGGGGGAGGGGGGTGCTGGGGGTTGGCTGACTTCTTTCCACCTACACCTGAATAATTTTATTTATCCTGCTCTTACCTCCTTCCCACACAATAGAATGGAAGGGGAAACAACTGGGATTCAGGAAGTCTTGCTTCTAGACCAGGGATTCTTAGCCTGGGTCCTTCAAATGAACTTAGAACGGGAAAAAAAAAATTACATCTTTATTTTCACTATGATTGGTTTCTTTTGTAATCCTATATATTTTATTTGATTCATTTGAAAACATGATTCCGAGAGGGGTCTACAGGTTCACCAGACTGTCTAGGGTGTCTGTGACACAAAAAAAGTTAAGACCCCCTGGTCAAGACCTGTTGTTATTGTCAAGTTGTTTCAGTCCTATCTGACTCTTCATGACCCCATTTGGGGTTTTCCTGGCAGAGATACTGGAGTGCTTTGCCATTTCCTTCTCCAGCTCATTTTCTAGATGAGGAAACTGAGGCAAACAGGGTTAAGTGACTTGCCCAGGGTCACACAGCTAGGAAGTGTCTGAGGCCCGATTTGAACTCGGAGAGATGAGTCTTCCTGACTCCAGGCCCTTTGCTCTGTGCACTGTGGTGCCACCTAGCTGCCTCGAGGTCAAGGCCTAGCTTCTCCCCTTTCTAGCTATACAGTCTTGGGCAAGTAAAATAACTTCTGAGCCTAAGTTTCTTTATCTGTAAGATTGGGATAACACTATCTCCTCTGCCTACCCCAAAAGGCTGTGGTGAGAATCAAACGATATGTAGAAGGCATCGAGAAACTACAAAATTCATATAAATGTGAGCGAGCATCATGAGCTTCTGAGTGACTCTTTTGTGCTGAATGCAGGGGGGAGATGCAGAATGCAGTGTAATGGAGTCTGGGATACAAGACAGGGAGTCAAGAGATCCCTATTCAGGTTCTTTCTCCACAACTTACTAGCTGGTTGTTGATTGATTGACTAAAAGGCAGTAGAAGTTTCTTTTTCCCAGAAATAAAGGAGACGAAAAGACAAAAACAAAACAAAACACCAAAACAACCCAACTTACTAGCTTTAGAGTAACCTTGGACAAATATTTTAACCACCCTGAGGTTTCAATTCAACTCAATTCAATTTTTAAAAATAATTTATTAATTAAAAATAACAATTCATTAATTGATTTTAAAATATTAAAGGCCTATTCTGTGGGAGGTACAAAACCCAAAACAATCCCAGTCTACGGGGGTGGGAGAGTGGTACAGATATAACGTGTGCATGGATAAGTAAATACAAGATAATTTGAAGATAACTGGATCATAGATACAGACCTAAAAAAGGAGGCGTCAGAAGTCATCTAATCCAACCTCCTCATTTTATAAATAAAGAAAATGAGGACCAGGAACATGAAGTGACTTGCTCAAGGTCATACAGATAGTACAAATAAAGTACATCAGGAGAAGCGTCATGAAGGAGATAATAATAACAATAATTTATATAATGCTTCAAAGTTTGCAAAGCACTTTACAAATATTACTTCAGTTTAGCTTCGTAACGTCCTACCTGGAAGGTAGATGCTACTATTATCCCTATTTGACAGATGAGGAAAGGGAGGCAGATAGAAAGTGACTTGCCCAGGGTCACACAGCTAGAGATGGCTTATTTAGATATGGAGACTAGACTGTGTGAAGAAGGCCTGGAGACTAGAAGTGGAATATTGAATTCAGGGAGCAATTAATCAGTCCTGGCTGGCTGGAATACAGAGTGCATGGAAGTGGGGTGTAATTTGCAACAGAAGGGTGATTTGAAAGTAGGTTGGAGCCAAATCGTGGAGGGTTGAGGAGTTTAGATTTTTTTCTGGAGGCAGTGGAGAGCCACTAAAGATCTTTAATCCTGGTCTGATTCATACACAGAGACCTATAACACAAAATAAAACACGATAAGCACATTAGAGAGACACAGACAAAGTGCAATGAAAAGTCTAAGGTAGGGAGAGTTATTACCAATGGAAGCATTTCTCACTATTGTACTCCTTTCTCCATATTCTCTTCTCCCTCAGCTTCTTTTGACATCATACTCTCCTGGTTCGCCTCCTACTTCTCTAACCACCTCTTTTTTGTCTCTGATGGTTCTTTCAGTCAATTGACTAATTAAGAAGCACCTACTAAGTGCCAGGCCAAAAGGGCAGTGTGGTAGAGTAGTTAGAGACCTGACCTTGCAAAGAGGAAAATCTGGGCTCAAGTATTTCTTCTGATACATACTAGTTATGCAAGTCACTTAATCTTTCTATGTCTCAGTTCCCTCATCTGTAAAATAAGGGGATTGGACTTCATGGCCATGAAAGCTTCCTAGAGGAAGCATTTGAGTCAGGCTTAAAAGTTGTATAGGAATTCAATAGGGTTGGGATGGAGGGTGGAGAGAAGGGGAGAGAATTTCAGGTTCATAGGTTCATAGATTTAGAGCTAGAAGGAATCTTAGAAATCAACAAGTCAAATTCCCTCATTTTATACTTGAAGAGACTGAGGCTGAATGAAGTTAAGTGACCTGCTCAGGCTTTCATAGCTAATAACTGTCCATGGCTGGATTTGAACCCAGATCTTCCTGATTCCAAGTCCAGTACTCTATCCACTATTCCACAGATTGTGAATAAAGGCTTGGCAGTGGGAAAATATGGGTCACGAAATTAGGACAGTGAGTAGTCCAATTTGGCTGAAGCATAGTTAAGGCTAAAGAATGGCAGGAGAGAAGGATGGAAAGGTAGGCGGCACCATTGAAGGGTTTGGTCAAACCTACATATAAGGCGTCAAGTCTAGCTGAGACGTGAAGGATGGTTTGGTTGGAAGCTGCTGCAATAGTTCAGAAGGGTGGTCAGGGGGAATTATGCTAGTGTGGTAGCTGTGGGAATTGGAAAAGAAGAGCATGAGAAACATTGGGGAAGTAAAATCTACAGCATGTGGCAACTGATTAGATATAAGCAGTAAGGGGGAGCGGAAAGGATCGATAACAACCACCAAGGTCTATAACATCAGGATCTGGCTGAATCAGTAGAAAGTGGAGGTTTTTGGGGAAAGGGAACAAATTTGCATTTGGATATGTTCCAATCAATCCCTTACCTTTTATTAAGCATCTAATGTACTCTGGGCTAGGAACTGATGATATAAATGCCAAAGTGAGAAAATCCTGCCCTCAAGGAAATTCACCCTTCAAAGAGGATGCTGAGTTTGATGGCTTGTTGAGGCATCCTATGGGCAGTTGGAGATGTGGGTCTGGAGCTTGGGAGAAAGGTCAAAACTAGACATATAGATTTGTGAGTCATCTACCTGGTACTATTGTTGAAACTGTGCCAGGCTAGTAAATAGACTGAATAGGACGAAAGTATATGTAGTACAGAAAAAACAACAACAACAACAGGTCAATGACATGACATTAGGGGACACCCACCTTAAGGCATCAGGAAATTTTTGTTGTGGTTGTTGTTGGGCAATCATTTAACCCTATTTGCCTCAGTTTCCTCATCTGTCAAATGATCTGGAGAAGGAAATGGCAAAACCCTCTAGGATCTTTGCCAAGGAAACCCTGAATGGGGGCATGGAAAGTCGGACACAACTGAAACTACTGAACAACAACAAAAAACATTGTTGACTCTGGCTAGATTATAAACTCCTTGAGGGGAGAAACTTGTTTCACTTTTGTCTTTGTATTCTCAGCATATAGTACAATTTCTGACATATAGGGGATAGGAATAGAGACTGATTCTATGATTTCTTTGGCATTTGGAATTCCTGGATGAATAAGTTCTCTTCACCAATGCAGGTTGACATTTTCTTTGCAACTTTGATCCTCAGAGAGTTGCTTAGAGCACTGAGAGGTTAGGTAACTTGGCCAGGGTCACACAGCCAGAGGTTCATAGGATCATGAACTTAGAGGCAAAAGGGACCTTTTGTTGTTGTTGTTATTGTTGAGTCCTTTCAGTCGTGTCTGACTCTTCATGACCCCATTTGGGGTTTTCTTGGCAAAGATCCTGGAGTGGTTTGCCATTTCTTTCTCCAGGAAACTGAGGCAAGGAGGGTTAAGTGATTTGCCCAGGGTCACACAGATATTAAGTGCCTGAGGTGGGATCTGAACTTAGGAAGATTAGTAATCTTCTTGATTCCAAGCCCAGTTTTCTCTCCAGCTGCCCCTGGAAGACACCTTAGTGGCCATGAAGTCCAACACCTTCATTTTATAGATGAGGGAACTGAGACACAGATTAAGTGACTTGCACAGCCAATATGTGTCAGAAGAAATACTTGAGCCCTCATCTTCCTCTTTGCAAGGCCAAGTCTCTATCCACTATACCATACTGCCTTTCCTGCCTGGCACTTAGTAGATGCTTTTTAATTGACTGAAAGAATCATCAAAGAGGTGGTTAGAGATGTGGGAGGAGAATCAGGAGAACATAGTGTCATAAGAAGCTAAGCGGGAAAAGAACATGGAGAAAGGAGTACAATAGTGACAAATGCTTCAGAGATGTCAAAGAAGATGAAGGCTCAAGACATGCCATTGGATTTGGCCATAAGGCAATCAATAATGATATTTGAGAAATCAGTTGCAATAGAGTGGTGTGAAAGGAAGGAAACCAGATTGTAAAGGGAAGAGCACGGGTGGGAGAGGAACCAGTCGTAGAGGTCTATATACAACTTTTTCATGGAGTTTAGTGGTAGAGGGAAGGAGAGAGATGGTATGGTATCAAGAAGAGCCTTGATTATGTATTTTAATATTGATTTATTATTGAGATTCCCTGAGCATGCTTATAAACTAAATGAGTGGAGAAGGAGATATTACAGATATGGAGGAGAGTGGGGACAGTTGATGGGGCAAGACCTGGAAGAGGGGATCTGGAGGGGGTTCAAGGACATACTCAGAGAATTAGCATAATTGAGGAGTAGGGCTACCTTTTCATTTGTGATTGTAGGGAA